AGTAATACAGTACTTGGCATTGTGCATGCCACTGGACACTTCCTTCAATAAAAAAAAAGTCCAAAAAGAACCATCAGTCAAATTCCGTAAAATCACAGCAAAGCTAAGGTGAAGGTTATATTAGCCAAACGGATCAACCAATGTCCGGCACCACACGAGGCCTGTGCCCCTCTCCCCCCTCCCCCCATCTTCTCGAATTTTTTTTCGCTATGGCATACTCAACGAAAAAAGTCTATGTCAACATGTTGGCCGCTCCCTTCCCCTTCCTTCAAAAAAAAAAGTGCCTACGCCCTTGCGGGAGACGTGTCAACGAAGACTTAGATCATGCTCATTTGTTAAAAGTGGAACACGGTTTAATGGCCGTAAAAAATAAGGGAACCCTAAAGCATCACATAGGAGTTCAATGCGATAGCGATCTTCTGCTCCTATAGTGCGTACTTCAAACGCTTAATGCATGAAACCTTTTCGAACCAGCAAGCACTCTTTACATAGCCTTAAAAAAACAAGCGCAGTAGCGTGCGTGCGTTTTCGAGTGGGTTACCGGCTTCAAAGCACCATGTCATTGTGATGATCACATGTTGGAATGCCTGATTTTCATAGGCGCTTGTACCATATTTACTGCAATATTTCATGTTGCATTGTGAAGCATGTATACATGATGTATGTGTTTGCAAAGCATGCCCACCCACCGCGGTGGTGAAGTGGCTAAGGTATTCGGCTGCTGACCTGCAGGTCGCGGGATCAAATCCCGGCTGCGGCGGCTGCATTTCTGATGGAGGCAGAAATGTTGTAGGCCCGTGTGCTCAGATTTAGGTGCACGTTAAAGAACACCAGGTGGTCAAAATTTTCAGAGCCCTCCACTACGGTGTCTCTCATAATCATATGGTAGTTTTGGGACGTTAAACCCCACATATCAATCAATCAATCAATCAAAGCTTGTCTCACTTTCACTGCATTTCCTAGGAGAGGAGGAGGAATAAACGTTTATTTTCAAAACGGTGTAGCGGTGTAGGTTCCGCGTTAACCTTAGGTGGGAGGTCTCCTCATTCCAGGAACCCTCGGGCCTTCACTGCCTCCTTGGTCCTGGCGACGAGATGTCGTTGACGAGACGTCCTAGGCGAAGAATTTATTTTCAATGTGTCCACAAGCAGACGCTTGGCCGCGTCGTAGAACATCCGCATGAGACTGAAACCACGTCAGTTCGATCCCAGAATTTTTTCTTATTTATTCTATTTGAAACGTTATCGATATTTCGGTGACGCATACGGTGATTTTTTCGCTCACAAGCAACGACGCTGAAGTCGACACTAATGATGGAATCTCTGCAAAACGAGCTCTTTAACGCTGTTGTGGTAAAAGGGTAGTTGATGGATAAAACAGAATGGTGGACGATTTTACAGGCGTGAGTTCATTATTTTTTCTATTTGAAAGCACGGAGCTCTAATTATAACAAAGGACACATTGAGGACGAACGCTGTTGTGTTCTTCGGTATTTCAGTCCCAATGCACACCTTAAAAAGGACACATTTTATATTTATAAATATATACGCAGCGCTTCTCCGTTGCATGATTCGATATGGTGTCACGAGAGTGTCAACATATCCAATCACGTCGTGGGAGAAGCGCGATGAGAAGCGGGCGCCACTGATGCAGTGCCGAAAATTCCTCGCCCTTGCGATCACTCTGGAGGAACGTGCACTAACACTTTTATTTCTCTGTATCCACGCCATGACGGAGTTGAAAAGATTACCTGCAAGTATAAAAGCAGCAATTCTACAAAGCAGAGCCTAGTTACAGGAAATTCATTAGAATAATCGATGTGAAGCGGTGTTGTTAGGTTAACCACAATACCGGCTGCCTTGGCAAACAGGCTCACTTTGCTTCCACTTTTCCTGGACTCAGTGGGGGTACCAAAAAAGGCAATTGCATATGCGAACGTAGCACAGAAAACACATGATAACATTATGGCAAAAACTACGACCTACGATGCACTTCGACTGTTAGAAAACGGTGGCAGTAACGGTGTACATATATATGCACGTTGATTTGCCGCTTTGAGGCGTCAGAGATGGCGCGTTGTTGTGATGTACTCCTCACTAGCCAACGGTGGCGTATGCGGAGGAGGGGGTGTTTGAACTCTTTCCGAAAATTTTAAGTTTGATAAGTATTTACATTCACGCATACAAATTGCTGTAACCCATTGAACGACGCGACCCAAGCTCTCAAGTGCGCATGTGCACAATCTTATCCCCTTTCCCTCTCCCCCTTACTTTCCTATATATATTCACGAGTGTGAATAAAACTGGCTGTTCTTTTCTGTTGGCATGGTCCGACTGTCACGTTTACTGCTGGAGCGGCGTGGCCGCCTCCCAACTAACAGTGGCGACGAGAATACCCACCGATACGTGTAAGCCGGGCGCCAGCGGCGAGACCAAGACGAAGACGCCCATCAGCCCGCCCGCAGCCATGGCCCTCAAGCTTCCGGATTTTGCAGAGGAGACAGATAAGTGGCAAGCGTATCTCGTTAAGATTGACGCCTACTTCGAAGCGAACGAAGTTACGGACGACGCGAGGAAAAGGGCCTTGTTGGTGGCTGCGTTAGGATCGAGGACCGTTGAAATCCTTTGCGGCAGAATCGCACCGCGAAAACCAAGCTCGCTGAGTTACGAAGAAGTTGTTTCAACCTTGAACGAGCACTATGATCCGTCCCCTAACGAGATATCAGAAAGCTTCAAGTTCTTTCACCGAAACCAACAAGAAGGGGAGTCCGTGCAGGCGTTTATCGTCGAGATTCGCAAGCTAGCGCATAACTGCAACTTCTCTTCAATGTTGGAGCGAATGCTGAGGGACCGCATCGTTTGTGGAGTGCGCTCGAAAAACCTGCAGAAACAACTATTAGCCAAAAAGGACTTGACGCTGGCAGAAGCGGAAGCACTAGCTCTAGCAGCCGAAAGCGCGGAGTTAGGGTCGCAACAGATGACCGGGCAAGGTGACGCCGTTGGGGTGTTCAACGTGCAGCGTAGCAGGCAACCCGAAATCAGCAGGAGCGAACGGAGCAGCTTATCGCAGCACTGCAGCTGCTGTGGCAAACAGGGACATCAAGCCAGGGAATGCTCATTACGACGGCGCAGGTGCTACAAATATGGGCGACAAGGTCACTTGGCGCGAGTATGCTCCCGGACAGCCACCACCAACAGAACCTTCGCGATAACAGAGTGTTCAGCGGAAAGTGAAGATAACGATTGTAACGCACTACAAATATGGTCAGTGAAGGGTAATGGAAGCCTGGTTCCGCCCCTACACAAGCAGGTTACATGGAACGGAGTGCCACTGAATATGATAATCGACACAGGTTCACCTGTCTGCGTAGTGCCTAAAGCGATATACGAAGCCTATCGTCATAAGTGGCCACCGCTTTGTAAAGCTGCATTAACTCTGTCATGCTATCTTGGGAAGATACCAGTGCGGGGCATTGTCAAAATGCAAGCTTCCTACAAGTCTGCAACAGTTGACTGCGATCTCGTTGTGTTAGACTGCGAAGGTCCTAGCCTTTGCGGCCGTGACCTGTTACAGATGCTCGAGACACAAGGGGCACCGCTTCTTCACATCGCGTCACTCTCATCGGACGGGAAGCTGGAGAGTCGGACAGCGGCATCCGTGCTGGAACAGTACGCAGACCTTTTTGCGGAGGGCCTGGGAGCCATCAAGGGACCACCAGCACGGCTTCATATAAAGGACGGAGCAACCCCAAGGTTCTGTAAGGCAAGAAAAATTCCATTTTCTTTGCTAGACAAAGTGTCCGCCGAGCTAGATCGACTCGTGGCCGAAGGCATTATTACGCCAGTTTCCTATTCAGAATGGGCAACCCCGGTGGTGCCAGTGCTGAAACGTGACGGAACAGTCCGCATCTGTGGCGATTTCAAAGTTACTCTAAACCCAGTATGTGAAATGGAAAGTTATCCTCTACCCATAGTGGACGACATTTTCGCTACGCTTCGTGGAGGGCAGCAGTTCAGTATCTTGGATCTACGTGATGCCTACAACCAAATTCTTCTAGACGAAGATTCGCGCAAGTTAGCGGTTATAAACACTCACAAGGGCCTCTTTTGTTATAACAGGCTACCGTTTGGGATAGCCTCGGCCCCTGCGATTTTTCAACGAACAATTGAGCAGGTGCTGCAAGGCCTCCCAGGGGTTCAAGCGTACTTAGACGACGTCCTGATAGCAGATGCGAACGATAAGCCAACTGCGAACCTGCAAGCAGTCTTGCAGCGGTTCAGGGAGTACGGCGTGAAGCTCCGCGCGGACAAGTGCCGAATAGGTGAGGAGTCAGTTACGTATCTAGGACACAGAATTGACGCGGCAGGGTTGCACCCGTCAGACAAGAACATCGAAGCAATTAAGCTGGCACCGACTCCTCACAATGTCACGGAATTGCGGTCTTTTTTGGGCATGCTAACTTTCTACAATAAATTCTTGCCTAATCTGTCCACGCTCCTGAGTCCCCTATACCTTCTTCTGGAAAAGAAATCGAAATGGTCTTGGGATGAGCGCGAAAACGATGCCTTCCGAAAAGCAAAAGCCGTTTTGTGTTCCGCGCCTGTGTTAACTCACTTCGATCCCGCACGAGAGCTATTTCTGGAGTGCGACGCGTCACCCTACGGTGTGGGAGCGGCACTATTCCACCGAATTGAAGGACAGTATCAGCCCCTTGGATTTCGATCCAGGACGCTTACTGCCGCAGAAAAGAATTATGCACAGATTGAACGTGAGGCGTTGGCTCTGGTTTATGGCGTCACGCGATTCCGAGATTATCTGCTGGGCAGACAGTTCACGCTTCTAACCGACCATCAACCACTGTTGGGTCTCCTAAGAGCGGATCGTCAGACGCCGGCTATGGCCGCTGCGCGCATTCAGCGTTGGGCCATCATACTTGGTGCCTACCGTTATCGGTTGCAACATCGACCGCGTAAACTCATGTGCAATGCTGATGCTCTTAGCCGTCTACCCCAACCGTTGCAGGAAGAAGTGGACCAGGAGGACGAAGCTCAAGTTCTGACCCTGGACCAGTGGGATCAGCCGGCCCTGCCATGGAAGGAACTCCAGGCACTCGCCGTCGCGGATGAGGTACTTTTCCAGGTACGCAAGTATACCCGGGAAGGTTGGCCGAAAAAACTCGACACGGAAACTACAGAAATCGCCGATTTTTACAAAAGGCGGCATGAGCTGTCTGTTAGTGAAGAACTTCTTTACTGGGGCCATCGCTTTGTAGTGCCGACAGCAGCACGCGGGAAGTTGCTAAGGCTACTGCATGAAGCCCACCAAGGAATTTCCACCATGAAGGCGAAGGCCAGATCGTTATTTTGGTGGCCCGGCGTAGAGCAAGACATCGAGCGCGTTGCGGCGACATGCCAAAACTGTGTGCAAGCGTTGCCGATGGCTCAGGCAAAGAACCAGTAAATTGGCCCGAGACGCACGAAAGGTGGTCGCGGCTACATGTGGACTATGCGGGACCAGTAAAAGGGAAAATGTTACTCATCGTTGCCGACGCGCACACCAAGTGGATTGAGGCGCTTCCCGTGTCGCAGGCCAACTCGCATAGCACAGTCGAGGCCCTCAGAACGATATTTAGCCGTTTTGGTATACCGCGCACGGTGGTTTCTGACAACGGGACGCCATTCACGGCACGAGAGTTCGAGCAGTTCATGGAGCGCAATGGCATTGCGCATATTCGAACACCTCCCTATCACCCCCAGAGTAATGGACTAGCAGAGCGAGCCGTGCGCACTATCAAAGATGGCTTGAAGAAGATAGGCGGCACTTGCCTCCTCACCTCACTGGCACGTGTATTGTGCAATTATCGGAACGCACCACACCAGGAGGGTCCTTCTCCCTCAGAGAGGCTATTAGGATACCGTCTGCGCACAAGAATGGAGATGTCTTTTCCTTCCAGAGTCTATCCTGCCAAAGCTGCGAGTGACCCAGGCTGGAATTTCGCACCGGGAGACTACGTGTACGTGCGAAATTACGGCGCCGGAGACAAGTGGTTCCCAGGCACAGTGGAGGCCACGCGTGGCACTCGCCTCCTGGAGGTAAAGACTGTGGATGGCCTTGTCCGCCGCCACGTGGATCAAGTTCGCAAGCGGAGCCCAGATGAAACGCCAGCAGCCGACGACATGTCGAGGCCATCTACACCGGTTTCCCCAGGGCCGGTACGACTAGAAACAACGGCGCCGGCTACCTCTCAGAGTACCCCAGAATCGCAACCATACGTACTACGTCGCTCCACACGAGCCAAGAAACCGGTCGTGCGTTTTGGCTACTAAGGGGGAAGAAATGCTGTAACTCATTGAACGACGCGACCCAAGCTCTCAAGTGCGCATGTGCACAATCTTATCCCCTTTCCCTCTCCCCCTTACTTTCCTATATATATTCACGAGTGTGAATAAAACTGGCTGTTCTTTTCTGTTGGCATGGTCCGACTGTCACGTTTACTGCTGGAGCGGCGTGGCCGCCTCCCAACTAACACAAATGAACGCATGAGCATAAATAAGGTATGTACAGATACCCTTCCCTTTCCCTCGCTTACGACTAGAGGTCAGCTGCGATGGCGGTGCGGACCTATGTGCGCGGAACATATATACGACAAAATGGTCGGCAAGCAGACACGGTAACGTGACAAAGCATGGCTGCACATAGTTGCCATAGTAACGACAGATATATCTTCGAAAAAACAAATGTGTATCTTTTGATACACCGAGGGTGCGTCTGTGACGGCCAGACATTTCGTGCGTAATGCTTCGAGCTGTCTGGCACAGTATGTTTAGAAAAACAGCCAATTCATTGCCAGTTGTTGCCGTTGAGATAACGCCGACACACCGCACATATTTATCTGCGCTTTGAGATGAAGCGACAGTCACAGGGTGTACATAATTTTTCTTATATTTTATTCATTGCTACGTCACTGTCTACGTCATGGCGAGAGTTTTGAATTTTTTGAGGTCATTATGCCACGTGGTGTCATTCACGCGAAGTAAACCGCTGGTGTCCAGAAAAGCTAGATATGCCCAAATCTAAGGACACGGGCCTACGAAATTTCCGCCTCCATCGGAAATGCAACCGCCGCAGCCAGGATTCGATTCCGCGACCAGCGAGTCAGCAGCCGAGTACCTTAGTCACTAGACCACCATGGTGGGGTAAGGCTATGTTTCTTCTGTATATCAAATAGAATGTGATGGAATAAAGCCTCCAGCGTACCCAGACGAAGTAGTTAGAACGTGTGCGATATGGCACTTTCTGTTAGAAAGAAGCTACAATCATGCGCGCACTTCGGGGCTCGTGACACTGCCAGCAAAGTGCACTCTTCAGAGGTATATATGTTCAAGTCCAGCATCATCAGGTATGTGAAATGCCATAAACCATTTGTGCGTCTTCAATGAGTAAGTAACTCGTTTTTCAACGCGCAGTGAGTAGAGAAGCTCGCTCGAACTCGTGTGCTGCCGTTGCGCGCGCTGTACGGAACGGCGGAAGAAGGTCAGGGTCACAGCGCCCCCCTCAAAGGAATGACGAGAGGCATCTACTACACCCGATGCGAAGGCCGTAAGAAGCGAGGGCTGCAGGTGCAGTCTAGCCCGGCCGTGCCCACGTCTAGACAGACTGCTGCACTTCCTGCTGCTGCAGCGCCATTGAGGTGACATCCCTAGCTCCAAGTATCCAGATAGAATTTAACTGCAGTTTATTTCTTTTTATGTTAAGACGTACATGTCTTCTTTAGTATTATTCCTTCTTTGTCTGACAGGAATCCGAACACAAGAAACCACAATGTAGAGGAATGTTTGGCGAATGGGAAGAGCTGGAGCGAAAAAAGGGAAACAAAGCAGCCAGTAATGGGCAGAAAGAAAGATATGAAGCCAACACAGTTAATCAAGAGCGCCTCCTCTACTTTGCATTCCCACAATAAAAAGATCGACTGAAAGTTGAATAAAAAACGCGAAGCGTGGGTTCAATGCAAGGACAAAAGAGGTACGAGACGAAAAAAAAGAAAGCTAGGGTAGGCACATATTATATGTTAGTTTCACGTGTCAGCTCTTGCAGTTGTGCATACGTATGTATCTAGGTACATTCCTGGGGTCACAACACGGAGGCCGAGAATCACTGCCGCGTGTGTTAATAAAGCCTCTGCTTAAAGAGACATTTGTTGCCCATACGGTTATCCGATTATTTGCCTGCTGCTCTCACCCCCCCCCCACAAACTTTGCTTTTTACAACTACAAATGTACTCGAAAAACAACGTGAGCTTTGGCGTTACTGTCAAAGGCAATGAAAGGGACACTTGTAAAGACCGAGTTGTATAACTAGGTGAACACGACAGGAGCACTATTTTGCCCGTCGCTTCTGCGTTTTGCTTTCTGTGGTTAAGTATGACTTTCTCTTCGCGCGTTCGCTTGTGGGTTAATGATTATAGACGCTCACCATTATACGATGCTGCTCATGTTATGCGTATACGTGTGCTACATGTGGTACTGCAGCGTCTGTCGCAAATTGTGACGAACGAGACGTGGCAAAAAGAGGCACGCACTTTCTCCCATTTTTATGGGGCTTTTTCTTTCGTAAGTGTTCTTGTTGATGTTTTTCTTAGTATTCTTCTTAGAACTAACCCAGGAAGTCTGTCTCTCCGCTCATTTGTGGGCCCGTAATGCGTAACATGATGCGCTCCATAATAGATAAAGAAAGCAAATATACACAAATAACAGAGATATTGCAGCTTCATAAGTTCACCTTTAATTTCTTCGATATCTTGAAGCATTAGATCAGCGCGCATTTGAATCTCTCCTAGCGGCCCTGTGGAAGTCATAGCGGCCCTGTGGACGTCGCAACGGGCAGCAACTTTGCCTTCGTACGGCCTATCGACTCCTCTCTTTTTGACGTCACACCGGGCCGAGACTTCACAGTCAACCACCCTCACGACCCCTCTCGCCACGACATTGCAGCAGGTCTCGAGCTCGCTTGAGACCGGCCCCACGACTCATCTCGCCTCGACGTCGCCGCAGGCCAAGACTTCGCTTTCGACTGGCCTCGGAACTCCTCCAGCATTATGTCGAAGCAAGCGACGACTTCACCTTCCAATGACCTCCCGACTGCAAAGCCAACCACAAGTCGAACGAGTTTTGAGCACACGCCGAAAGACCTGCCGCTTTCCACGCAATCCATGGCCCTTCGGAGCAAGAGCTTGTCCACAAGGTGCGCCATGGCGAGTTCGATAGCTAAGGAAAATCCCGGGTGCGCCATGTGAATTGACTCCAAAGATCCAGCTTCCCACAACCTAAGCTGCTGCTTGGCAAGTCCGCCTTACTTTCGTGATACAGGTGATGAATCCATGTACCATTCGTCTTACGGCACCCTGTACCCCCAGGACTTGCCTCATGGGGAACAACACGCGGAGCCCTATTTCTTGTTCTAGACGCGCCTGAGACCTGATCGTGGTGGTAGGGTCACCAGTTCGTCTTCAATGAAGGCCAAGGAAGTCGACGATCGGGAGTGTGAGCGGAAGCACTGCTACAAGCCACACTCAACTAGAATCATGGATCCTGTGACCATCTACGAGACCACCGATCATCACAAAAAGATGGCGCCTGACGCCAGAGAACTGCGCCGGATGTGCCACATAACATAGCTCCATCAATACGCCATGCGCTTCATGCAGGGATCCGGAGCAAACGAAGAGTCTCGTGAAGCAGGAAACACCGTGATTGACCAGTCGTTGGGAGGCCCCTGCAGTGATGTCTCCACAAACTTCCACATGACTCAAAATCACGCATCTGAAAACCTCAGCTCGACGCACGTCATCGTTCGTGACGCTGGGACGGACACGGACAATCTGCTACCGGCCACACAGCCCATGAATGAACCTCCACTGCCTTCGAACGCAGCCGAGATTCCCGTCCTTGGTGAGGTCACTGCCTAACAGAACCAGGATGCTTCAGCATCGTCATCATTCACGTCGAGCGAGGAAGAAGAAGAATTGTCATCGACTTCGGAGTCTTCATGCAGATCTGAGGCTCCTGCGAGCTCCAATCAGATGCACCTGAGCAGCGATAGCTCCAAGTAAACTACCATTGCTCAGAATCTGGCAAATAAAGACATAATCTCGGCGGACGTAATCGTTTGGGACGCCCAGACATGTTTCAACACTGCACTGCCGAATACAGTGCACGTGAACGAGTCGTTTATGCCATCAAAGGCAGCCGAGATGCCCCTGCTTGATGCGATCGTGCACAAAAGACCCAAGACCCATTAGCGTCATCGTTGTCCTCGTTGAGCGAGGAAGAAGAATCGTCGTGGTTTCCGAAATCTTTATTCAGCTTGGAAGAATCTGCAAGTCAGGCACACGATCAGGACCAGCTGACGCCCGAAGTGATCAAGTGGAGCATGTTCGCGCAGCACCTGCAGAGACTTGACATGAAACGCCAACAGCACAAGGATGACGATGATTATAAGGAAGCTTTCCGAATGTACAAGAGCAGACTAAAGTCAAACTCCGCATACTACAAAAAACGACGCAAGAAGCGCAAAAACCACGAGCAGAACTTTTTGCTTTGTGTCAAGGCAACCAGTGACGCCTCGCAGGAATGCGAACCCATCGTGTCACAGAACGAACTGCTCAAGATAGCACACAACGTGACCACGAGGTATTCTGGACAGCATAGCGAGGTTGGACGACTTCCCCCACAAGACAAGCTACCATTTTTTTTTACCTTTATCGTCATTGGCTTCATCGAATGTACGATTACGTCAAGAGCCTTCCAAGTTTTCAACCACAAGATCGTTATTTTGGACCAAATTCTAGATTGCTATGCACTGAATGTCAGAAGCCAGCACCATTGTCATCAGCAGCTCCAACAGTCGCTCAAGAAATCATTCATATGCCGGCTACTATAGGACCCAAGCCTACCTGCGCATCCATACTTCACGATCGACCACACGTGGCTTCTCCCCCTTTTACTGCATCTCGATCACCAATGTCCGCCTCAACTTCCGCCGCTTTGCACCCGAACTTTACTGCAATTTGCCGGCTGCGCGAGTGTGTTGGAAATAAAGGAGGAAGAAGGGGCGGCGGGCACGAGCATGAGCCAGGGGTGCTGGCTCGCTCAGTTGTTCCGTTTACCTTCGATGTAGCCAGACGACCGGGTCAGGGTCCCCTTCGTTTCTCACAACTATGTCGCTGAATTTAGCGGCTGTACACGTTCAGGCTGAAACGACAACATCGCCCCTATACATCTTAGTAATCCTTTATACATTTTGGCGGCTTTTTAATGGCATAGATACGCATAGCTTAA